CTGCGCCACCAGGGAGGGCCCACACAGACATTATTCTTAATTCAGAAAGTGGTTGACTTTCCCTGAGATGGTAGGAGGTTGTGTCTGACATGTGTTCTCTTCCTTCACCCTAACCTTCCGGTACAGCCAGGGCTGACAGATTAATGAGAGTCCATGTGGCATTATACAACACAAGAAGCATCGCCTGCATGATGTCTAAGCACTTACGGATCCATGTGAGTTTTTACACAAATGTACACACACACATATCCAAACACACACACATGTACATAGAAGGCCTTTTTCTAAACAAAGGTCTCTATATTTATTACTAAATGGATCTACTGGGACAGAATCATAAAAGCAAAGAGAAAAATCCTCTCCAACAAAATATGACCAACTGTCCAGATCGTGATGTTTTCCGTGTTATCTGGCCAGATGCTGGGGACCCTGACTTGGCATAAACAAACATGCCCTCCTACGTGTGATTCCCTAGAGACCCTGCTTGGTTCTTCGCCAGTGTCTCCCCTTGGAGTGGGATCTGCTTTTACTACTAGTTTTAAGCCAAATTCACTGGAACGGGATGATTCTGCTTTTCTTTCTTGGCTGGGAATTGCCTGATCCTCAACGTGTTGAGATAAGACATGGCAAGAAACAGACGGACTAAATCCCACACATGATGGCAGAGAAGGAAAAGTGGATTTTAAATTCCTGCGGATAGTCACCAAACCAATCTCATAAAGCAAGTTGGTACTGTTGTTTGGTTTACTATACAGCAGCCCAATACCATGCACAGCTTCAGAATTAAGCAGAAAAAGCCTCAAAGATGAGCACCAACCTGACTGGGAACGTCTGGACTACAAGCATGGCCACTTACACTTAATAAAATGCCTGTGGGGCTCCCCGGGGGCGCAGCAGGTTAGAGCACAGCACTGAGAAGCTAAAGCCGCTTAGCCTGAGTTCGATCCCCATCCTGGAGGTGACCACAGGGCGCGGCAGACCTCTCCTGGCCCGCCCGCTGCTCCCCTCAGCAGGGGACTTCGTCCATCTGCCTGTTCTGCTCCCCGCTCTGTCTCTGGTGAAGCCTCTCGCTGCCCCTGAACCTCTGGCCTGTACCCCAGTTCTGTATGTACAAATAAATAAATCTTTTTAAAAAAACAAAAACCTTCACAGGTTTACCTGGACTTTTCTTTATACTTTTTTTCAGGTCAGCTATCTTTTCAAGAAGGTAAAAGGTGTGAAGTTGGGAGGGAAGAGCAGTAACAGGAGAGAGGGTCAGAAAAGGAAGTTATTTTTAGGAAGGCTAACAAGGAAAGAGAAAGTCAAGTATGTGCAAGAAAGTCAAGAATGGGGGGCTGGGGAGGTCAGGCCAAAGGGAAGCTGGCCGGCAGGTAAGAGAGTTTACCCAGCTTCCTCATCCTCCTCATTTCTCCACACAGGCTCACAATCCCTCCTCACCGGGTAATAAAAAGAAGGAGCTTGCGAACCGCAGGGGGTGGGTGAGTGAGTCAGACTTGTTCTCGTTAGCCCCCTCTCCATTCTGGGAGAAGGGAGACTCACTCACCACTCAGAAGATATCTGTGAAATGCCTACTGTGTGCTGGCTAACCCGTGAGGCACAGCAAAATCACCTGAGCTTCAAAGCCGAGATGCATCTAGAACTGGTAGCTTTACGCTAGAGCTTTTGTTTTTGTCATTTAGCACTTAGTGTCCCAAAGTCTACTAAATTACTGACTCGCAAAACGGAAACACCAACCGCCCAAACTGTGTGTACGTCAAAGAGGTATAATACGTGTTGTGTCTTCAAGGCCACACTCACTCGGCCGTGATTTGTATCTATAATAGGTGGTCAATTATCCGTTTTCCAGAACACCGTGGAATATGTGGATGACACAGAATTACACTAATGGTGTCCTTTCCTAGAAGAGATGAATTATATCTCTAGGTGAAGAGCAAGGAATTCTGAGTTTCAGTAATTTGACTAAATATCTATTCAATAGGTTTTTTTTGTTTTTTGTTTTTTACAGTGCCTTGAATAAGTTTCAAGGCCTTTGAATTCACAGGCTTCTTGGCTTTTTTTTTTTTAAGATTTATTTATTTATGCATACAGAGCTGGGGTACAGGCCAGAGGTGCAGAGGTGGTGAGGATTCACCAAAGACAGAGCAGGGAGCAGAACAGGTAAACTGTCAAAGTCCACTGCTGAGGGGAGCAGCAGGCGGGCCAGGAGAGGTCTGCCGCGCCCTGTGGGTCACTCCCTGGCCGGGGATGGACCTCGTGCTGAAGCTGCCGTGGCCAGCATGTAGCGTTGTGCTACAACCCACTGCACCATCAGGGTGGGCCCTGAATTCATAGGCTTTTAAGTAGAATATTAATTATAAATCAAGTGCTAATTATGGCTATTTCACAGGGAAGAGATCGCTCTGTATTGTATTTGCCCCAACCATACAACAGTATTTTCTATGTTCCCCCAAAAGTTACAACCAAGCATTTAATAAATACCTTCATTAACGCCCACACCTAAGCTTGATCTGGCTCTGCTGAAGACACACTGACGAGACCAGTCATTTGACATTTTTCATCTGGATCTTCATGGTCTACCTAACACAAGTTAGAAGACAAAATCTTTGGAGAATGTATCAGTCCCTTGCATGAGTTACAGTATAGTGCTTTCATGACTGCCCTGCTGTACAAAGCTACTGTTGACATGCAAAGGTTCATTTTATAACCTCCTCCTCCTAAAGTCTGAATAGTTTTCCGTGACAGAAGTTTATTGTTTCTGTGACAAAAAAGTAAAACCTTCTCCCTCTCCTTAGCTCTTTGAGAAAATCTGTCCTCCGTTGTAGTCATCCACTTCACTTGGGTAGTTGGTGCTATCTGTTGCCTCTTTTGCTTTTAAAAACATATTTAGAATCCCATGTGTTAGGTCCATAACCACTCGATGGCCTTAATACTCAGAACAGCCCTCTGGAGGATACTCTCTGATTATTCCTCCTTGGCATTTTAGGAAACCTGCCCAAAGATTGGTAGTTTGTATCTGACAAAACGGAGCTACAATGTCGGACAGCTTGACTCTAAAACCACCATTAACCAGTCGCTTGCGTTTCTGTGATAATATTTCAGTTTTGCATCATGTCTCACAAATAAGTTTCTTCCAAACTTTTTTTTTTTTTTTAAAAAAAGACAGGGGCTATTGTTTCTGTTTACAAATCAATTTTACTGTGAATCCTTCTGATGTTTCTCAGTCCTTCAGATGGTATCCAAAATACTCAAACAAAATGGATCTGTTTGATACATGGAGATGTATTACTCTGGTGGATTCACGGAGAGGTTTGTTTGATGTGATGTGCCATTATTTACAGTTAAAGTACCCACGTCTGTTATTCTTTTCCTGATATTCATGGTTGTGGCTAACTCTGCAGGACCTCAAGTGCACCTGTCGGCCCTGGCTAACGTTGTGCATGGGTGAGCACACTCCCCAGCAAGGCCAGCAAGCAAGCCAGCAGAGCACAGTGCACTCTGTCCTGCAAATAGCTGCAGCCCACTACTTTGTTTCAAGTAGAAGCTACAAGAAGCCTCAGGCCCCCTACAAACATGCACCCCACTCCCTGCGTCAGTGGGCACATTTCCTGTTTTTCCCTGCAAGTACAGACTCTATATATACCTATGGGCAGGCCTAATAAACAGACTTCGGACTCCAGACCCCCGCTCCTGCTTCATTCTCTCGTCTGGGAATCTCAGGGCACCCCTCAGTGGGTTGCAACACATGGATCATAATTAAGTGATTTAAGAACACACATTTCCTGACTTCTTCCCAGAATAATCTGGTCCACAGCTGGAGCACCCCAGCAACCACGAGAAACTAATTATGTATTCCAAACATTTTTTTGACTAAAGGAAAATCTATACTCCAGTCCTCCTGAAGGCCACTTGGGGCTCTGGGGAGTGAGTTCTTGGCACAGTGCTCAGAGTTTTTATCTGGCATACCAGCTCTCAGGGTTTCAAATGACAAAATGACAGAGTGTTCACCCAAGTTACTAACTCTGCCACTGTTCAGTTGACTAGGCGCTCAATGGGAGTGGTTATGAATGCGTCTTCTGTCCCTCATCTTTTTTAGTTTTCTACCCAGAGGAGCTGTGTGTGTAACCTTAAGCATTAAGCACCTAAGGATTTTCAGGCAATTTGCATGATTGTAATATGTCCAATGTGTTCATAAATACAAAAGCCTCAGCATTAGGTTTCTAAATGATAGGATTATAGATCAATAAGTAGACAAATGTCATCTTCGTTTATTCACATAGGTATTCACATGTCTACATGCATTATCTTCTGTAGAGAGAGAACAGACCCACTCTGAAATGGAGGCAAATAATTTTATACAAATTAATAATCAGCTGTCACTGCTTCCATGCCTTGGTATCTTAGATTGAATTTCTGCTCTTGCTATGTTTAGAGTCTATTTTTAACTTGGCCAAGTGACTTACTATGAAACCATGTGAGTGTTGCTATTTTAAACTGTATGATCGTCGCCCCTCGGACCCGTTTAAAGCCATAGAGTAGACCATTGTGTGCCCATTCCATGCCTCTGTGCAGAAGCCAGGACACTAGATAATGATTTTTAAAGAACTAAGCGTGCTGAGTTTCTAATGGATGACAGGCGTGTGCTTTCATTTTCTTCCTTGAGTTTTTTAAAGGACTTGTCTTGTTAGAGAATTCTTGCTTTATCGATCACATTGTAACTTTACAGATGGTTTTATAACTTTACAGATGGTTTTAAAGCTGCGTGCTGAGTAGAACTGAGGATGGGCATGAATACCAAAGGGACCTCATTTCAAATCCTGTCTTTGCCACTTGTTAGCTACAGTAACTTTGGCAAATTACCTAACCACTCCGATGCTCACTCAGACTTTTCATTTGAATAAGGGGAACCATCATACATCCTTGCAGATTGCTGTGAAAAATACTGCGTGGATGAAGTATGTTAAGTACTTCTATTGTACCTGCCAAAAAAGCACAGGGGGACAGTAAAAGATCACCATTGTTACCTTTTATTGTCCCGAGTTTCTTCATGCCCTGCAAAGAAAGAAAAGATCAAAGAGCTTGGAAGACACTTGCTAGTTAAAGGATCACTCCAGAACTCTTTGCCCTGAGCAGTTTCAATTTGAGTGGCTGGACGTGCTGCAATAGCCCCGGGTGGCATTTGAACAAGTGCCAGCTCTTTCCGTTGGGGCCTTTTGCCCCTGGGAGTCTGCAGGCATCTGTCGGCATCTGCGTGGCATGAGTGAGTCTTGGTGATTGTTTAATAGAATATTAGCTTTGAGCAGGTGTGTGCTGCCTGCTTGGTCCTGACATGGTGAGGAAGGAGAGGCACGCACACACAAACCTGCAGGGGTAACCCTGGCTCACAGCTACCTCCAGGGGGCCTGGCTTAACACCACTGGCGGAAGATTTTAGAATCTCTAGAATGTTCTCTGGAGACCAACTGCTGCTTTTGGGATCAAGATCCTGTAGAGTCTTTTCTGGGTATATTGTCTGTTCTGTTTCACTCCTTGGGAGACCAAGGGCACCCCCCACCCCAACCCCACCCCCGCACCTCAGTCTCTCCACACACAGAGGCAATCTTTCTAACTGTTCTCAAATTCAAGCCAAACCCACCTTTTCCAGTCAACTATTTGTTGAGTCAGTCACCTCTTATCTCAGAAGCACACAGCCCCAGAATTAGAACTTTTTTTGTGGGAAGATCTGGGTTCCTATCTAGAATTCAGTTTATTGTCTGTATGGTAAGGGGTTTGGGGTGAGAAGTTTAAGAGTCTTTCAGCTCCAGAAATGTCTGACATTGGAATATTTGCAAGGGCTATTTCCTAACACCAATACCCAGAGGGGATACCTAAATTATAATCCTGTTCATTTGAATAATTTGCTTTCAAGAACTGTGGCACACCTGGTAACCAGAGCTTTTCCTCTGGTTTTACACAAACATACACATCTTTAATGGAAGTGGTCTCACACTGTAAGTTTTCACTGGTGCTTTCCTTTTTTTCCCACCACTACAATATATTAGAAAGCTTCCATACCAGTACATAAAGTTAGGCTTAATTCTTCTCCACTTCTGCATAATAGTCTGGTGTATAGCTACAGCATAAATTTTTTGGCATCATTCCCATATCACTAATGGCTAATAACGCTGAACATCTTTTCATGGATTTATTTACCACCTGTATATCCTCTTCCGTGAAACGTCTCACCATGTCATTTGCTTATTTCTTGTATTGTTTGATTTTTTAATTCATTATTTTCTTCTATCACCATCCTTTAAATCTGCATTTCTCTTTCTCGCTTGCCCACACCCTTGTGTTGATCCTTAGGTAGAGGGAAAGCTTTCAGTGTTCACCATTAAGTATTACATTGATTGTTGATGTGCCTTTATTATACCATAGTAGGTGCTTTCTATTCCTGAAGCCCTAGTGCAGCAGGGAGGCTCTTATTATCTTTCTTAATTGGAAATATTTTCTTTTGTCAGCGGTAAGTATAGCTGTTAGTTATTTTTTTCTTTTGCTTTCAGGGTAGCCATTTGCTTGTGCTGCTTTCCAGTCCTTAAGCCGATGTTTGTCTTTCTTGGTAAGACGGGTTTCCTGTAAATAACAGAAGGCCTTTGTTTTAAAATCTATGCAGTTGCTCTGCATCTTTGACTGGCTTGAGTTTGTTTGCGTTGAAGGTGATTACTGAGACATAAGTGCTCATTGTCATTTGTTATGCTCAGGTTTTCTCTTTTCTGGTTTGTGTTCTCTTTTTCATTGAGGTCTTCCTGTTACACTTTCTTTCTTTCCATTTTCATTGTTTTTTGTGTTGCTTTTAAAAGGTTCCACCACAGTTAGTATATGATTGGCTACTTGTGTGACCCATTGGGTGGTCTGGAGTCCGACTTATTCTGAGACCAGAATAAATATTATTTAGAAGTATTTATGTACAAGAACTGGGGTACAGGCCAGAGGGGCAGGAGGTGGGAGGCTTCACCAGAGACAGAGCGGGGAGCACAACAGGCAGATCTACTGAAACACACTGCTGAGGGGGGCTGGGGAGACAGGAGGGGTCTGCCGCGCCCTGGGGGTGGCCTATGGGCTGGGGACTGAACTCACACTGAGGCGGCTGCAGCCAGCTTGTAGTGCTGTGTCCTGACCCAGAGCAGCACCAGGGAGGGCCTTGTTTTTAATTTTTATGGTGTTTAGTAAAGGTAGACTCATTCAGACTGTTTTCTTTGCACATATGAGAACTACCGGGCTCTGACCCTGGGGAAGAATAGTGGGCATTAAAGGGGACGGGGCGCTCCAAAGCACCACCTGCAGCCCACATCAGCACACCAGGCTTCCACTGCGTGATTTGGGCCCGCAGGAACCCACCACCAGCCAGCTCTCCGGTCTGACGTCTCTTCCAGTCTGTGTCCGCTTCCACTCTAGGCTATTTTTAATTACTAGATGAAGCTCTGGGCTCGACTGTAGTTGACCTGAGGTCACATGAGTTTAGCAGTTGTTCTCTTTTGGGGCACAGCACCCTGTCTTCAGATGTTTAGTCCTGTTGCTAACAGGTACTGGAGCTCTGGTTTATTCAAGTG